TTTTTTTTTTTATTTACGTGGGGTGTCCGGGCCAGCTTACGCACACCACGACTAATCCCCACGGCCTACTGAACATCCTGCAAGCCCAGTGAGCAGGTAAGGCACTGCGGGATGACTAAAAGTATTATTTTCAATTATCACAAATAGAGGTCGTGTTTGCTTGTCAAAAATTTTTATTTTTTTTTAAATTTTGTTTAGGAAATACAAAACTAAAAAAACACATTTACTAATGGAAAATGAATTCTTTTTCTTGAAAACGAATGTTTTCTACTTTTTCACTATTTTAAAAAACTCAAAAAACACTACCACATTTAACTATTTTTTCAACAAAAACAAAAAATTATATTGATGTTTACTCTAATACGACATCGGAGATTATTTTATTAATAGATTCATAAATAGATACAAGCTGTCAAAAAATACCTTATCAGTAATTTCTAGATTATTAATAAATCCATTATTAATAAAAAACAAATTACTGATGATTTTACAAATAAATTAACAATACACATGAAAAAAATAATTACTCACTAAAATATACTAGCGGAATAATTCAAATACAATGAAACTAAAACAAAGGTGACACTGAAAAAGAAGGAAGATGCTAGTTGTTCTTAAATTTCTATTGGATCTACCAGACGATCCTGCTTCCAACTATAAATCCAAATAGAAATCTAGATGGATTAAAAGATCATCCATGAATCTTTTTTTTAATTGGTTGTTGTATGCTTTTTAAGAATAAAAAATAAAATTATTAAATTTAAAAAAATAATAACTTAAAAAAGAAAATAATTATAAATCAATGTACTATAAAGTGTTAAGCTTAACCGTGAATGAATTGTTGCATCTTTTTTTTAAGGTCTTTACACATGTGTTTCCACAAAAAGTTTAATTAGACTTAGCTCATATCCAAAAACTATAATATATAAGATAACAATATTCTCATTTAAATATATTTATAAATAATAATAAATTAATTAAAAATAGATATAATTAAAATAAATTATATTATTTATTTTGCATGTAAAATGAATAAAATGAAATTGCAGATATATGTAGCAATCAAACCGTGAATCTATGGGCTTCGGTTCTCATATTAGATTGTAATCATCACATAAAATGCTTAAATGTTATATGTTACATATATTCTGTTGATTTTTAAGGATGTATAATTACATGAAATCCCTCCAGAACGGCAAGATATAATGATAAATATATGTAAAATTGAATTTCCTAGTAAGCAGTACGAGCAAGACAAAATTGTTTGGAACCCGGCAAAAAATGCAATTTGTACAGTAAACGAAACAGTTACAGAGACAATAAAGTACAATTTATGGGTACAGGTTGAACGTGGCACTATTCTAATTGCAAATCATTGCTCCAGTGATTAATTGTTTGCTGTGCTTGACGGACTCTTCGGCAAAGAATGAATCAAAAGGGGACAAACGTGAATGCAAAGTGTCTTTTCAGTGGAAAAGAAAGCCAGGATAGTATCCACATTTCCTTCCACCAGACAATCAATTGCTTGATCCTTGAAAGGAGCATTGCAGTAGCTGTGGGTGTGGGGAGATTAGTTCGATGTAGAATCCCGTTGATATTACTAAAGTTGAAAGGCTGGGATGAACAGTTTGCAATTACGTTTGCTTTTGCTGCTATAATGTGAACTAAATAGTTTACTAGTCATGCTTATTCTAATTAATCCATAATTTTGAGAGAGGGGATTGGATCCAGAACCTGGTAGATGAAATTTATCGTTTCTTCTGCTTATAACATTCAATATGATTTTATTTTTTCTTCTTTTCTTATAATGGTGAGGAAAGTTATTTGAAATAGTCAATAATATCATTTCATCTCAAATGCTGTCTACGACCTTCTTATCTCTTTTAATCGCAAAAAATCAGTATAGAAGTCCACACCTACATGAGGAACAGACTTCCAAATACCTAATCCTGGTTATTTTTTGTCTAATTCCAACTGATACAGACATGTTGAGATCCTACTGGATATAGCTCGTAGAAGTCATATTTTAGAAGATAATGATATATAGGAGAACTTTGTCTCTTGCTTGACTGCCTCATATTATTGTCACAGATTGACAATCAAGTTGCAACACATTTCTACACAGCAAGATTCAATAATACCAGCAACTGGGAATCAATTATTTTCTAATTTGATGTTTTTATATAAGATTTCAAGATGACATCGAAAAACTAACACCCGACACTAACCCTTTTTAATTTGACTCTTTAGCCCTGTTTTCTCAAAACTCCAAGGAAACTCTCCCTCCCTCCCTGTAATGGTTCGTTTGGGAAACGAAAAGGTTTAACAGCGATTTTCGTCCTTCAACAAAGGCGATTTAGGAACATTGAACGTGGTGGTTTAAACCATCAAAATTGCAGCCTTATGGTATTGTACGTGGTAGTGATTCTTCCATCTACCGCTGTCATGTTTTGTTGTTAGAATCTGGAAGAAAAAAAGGGTTTACAATTTCAATTATTTGAGTCTAGGTTTTATACAAAGTCCAAGTCTTATCAAGATGAGAGACATGTGCTTTAACACCCCCTCTGATCACTTGCATCCCATTTTTTAGGTTCTGACAAGTAATAGCTCAGAATATTTATGGGGTATTTGTATATTGAACTAGATGATTGAGTCTAGGTTTCATTCGAAGGATCCAAACCTTGTTGTGGGTGGTCTGATATTTTCGCTGTATGTCATATCGCGTCAGGGTTATATCATACCACAAATTCTTGCTTTTGCTGTTTCGAGATACAGTACTTTGCACCAAAGTGGGACACCAAACTAAAGAAACATCAACATCGATCAAAGATTAGACACAACTTGTAAATCCTTAATTTAAGACTTGGATTTTGCGATTCGTAGATAGCACCACACAGTGATCACAAGCCAAAGGCCACCCAAAATTGCCTCATGATGATAACAATACTGACACTATTTTTCAACAGCCATTTTCAAATGTTCTTTTTAAAAAACCTGTCGATATGTTAACTTCATTATACAAATAAAGATTTTGTTAAATCATGCAATCTGCCTGTAGTAAAAAAAAAATCTTGTGAAGTCCTTTCAATTACAAGGCAATGATCTTGATCTTAAAGCTACATGACAATAAAATGTGATCTTTTGGTTATTTTATAACAATTCAACAAGAAACTTAACCCATATATATAGTTGACAAAATTGACTTTTAAAACATGGTTTATGCATAAAAAATTAATTTTCAATATTAATTATGTATGTATTTGTATTAATTTGCTAATATATTATGTCTTTGTCCATTTAGATAGAGATAAAGCTAAAAAGAGACGAATAAAGATTACAAAACCTCACATACATGCAAAAGACACGGCTTTTGCGAGTTTGAAAGTTTAAATGATATAAAATTGGATAATGCCAATATAAGTTGTCATTAACGATGGCATTCTTTGATCTTTGACTTCATTCAATCAGAAATAAATCAGTGATGTATGAGTGCTTCAGTCTACGGGATATAAACAAAATAAATGGCTCCACCACCTTTGTTTAGATCAGTGACACATATTTATTCTCGCTTCATCTTTTTGAAAAGTCTTGAAGCAGAAGGTTAAAAAATTTAGTTGTCAATTACAAGGACAAATAATCAGGGGTAATTATAACTCTGTAGTTTAGCAAAAATAATTAATTAATCCTCATGGTCTTAATAATTGTTATTTAATCCTTATGTTTTGGCATTTATTTATAAATCAATCCTTCTGTCTATTTCATGTTTCTTTAATCTTCGATTTATTTGATTTTTTTAGCTTTTAAAAAATACAAATGATTAAAAAAAAAGTTAATGATGACAAGTTTGAGGAGAAAAGAAAGCATTTTCTGAAAGAAGAAGAAGAATTAAACTAAGTATGGTTAACACTGATCAAAAAAACTATTTAATTGTTTTTAAGTACAAAATTTAATTTATTTATTTTGATAAATTATAAAGACTAGATTATAATTGACTCAATAATTATTTATGCAATATTTTGCTATTTTAGTGTTGCCTCGTGCGTGCCTCGTTGATCAATTAAATGTCAAACACACATATTTTTTAAACAGTGATTTGTTGCCTTAATCAACGGTTCCTAGGCGGGACAGCATCTCGTCACGAGATGTAATTGGAATCTTTTTGGGCTCAAATTTTTCTCAAACGAGAAATGGAAGTATAGAATAATTTTTTCTCATTTTGTACTTATCTTGCCGCTTAGTTCTATCATAGATTCACGATTTTTTTTTCAAGGCATTCTCCTCTATGATTACAAGATGTATAATTACTCAAATTCTAACCAATGAAGGGAGTGTTTGCTTGTGATTTACAATAATGTAATAAATTATCTAGAGCAAAAATTAATTTCCTCAATATTATCGTCACCATCATCACCGAGATTTTAGAGACTCCACTTGGGATTTGCCACTGGGACCTCTCATTCTTATGAAGAGTCTGTATTCATCAAATGTCATCGCTGGATACAGTGGAGGTCTGTCAGGCGCCACAAGCTCCTTCAATGGCTCTATGGGGATATCACTCTTTGGATTGTAGAAGAAAGCAAGAGAGACTCGCTCTTTCGATGAATTTACTATCACTCTGTGCTCCACACTCTTGTAAGTTGCATTGCTTAGCACCTAATTAAACGAAATATCAGAAAACAAAGAACAAATTCGTTTACTACGTGCATCACTTCAGAATGAGAGTGAGTTTGCGACGGTCAATTAATTATATTATATATTATTTAAATCACTTGGCATCGTTCAAAAAACCAAATAAAAACAGGAAAGGTAAGGAATAAATTGCTCAAATGGAAGGAACGAGATGCTAGACTGCTTGTGAACTTTGCGACCCTAATGAAATCTACGGGAACCAAACAAATAGTCTAAAAGTACGAACCCAGCTAGGGATCATTTGATTTAGATTCCATAATTTAATAATTCAATTAAGGTTCCTCATGTAGTAATTTATTTATTTTTTATCAACGCTTTCCATTAACTTCATCAGCCACTTCATTGTAAGTTAAATAACGACAATTGACAAAACTTAACATTCGAAGACATTTACAATGGAGAATATATTAGGTGGCTTCCATATTGTTTTAGGCAGAAAAATGGTACATATAATTAATTTGAATGGAATGGTAGTTAATAAGGGATAAGCCATGATGGTAGTTAGGATCTTAAGATAAGTTAAATTGTAATAATTATTATATGCGTCCTTGCAAGAACTAACTAGACCTATATATTTGCTTTCTTTTTTGTTACAATTGTTTAAATATATGTTTTCTGTATCCTATTCAACATGTTTCAAACGTGGCATGGGATAACTCATCTGTATTTGTGAAAATCAGAAGAAAAGCGGGAGGTCTATGTATGATCTTCTTAATTAATTCTGAAAGCGGGAAGAACAATACTGGTTATGTAGGTCTAAACGAGAAGCTGTATATGCTTTCCCCCCTCTCTAGGAATCTGAGAAACTTTATAGATTAATCCACAATTTAAGAGAAGAAACTATGTATTCATGCCAAATTATTAAAATTGGCCACGATCTATGTGTTCACTCAATTCCCTCAAAATAATATCCTTCTAATTTAAGAAAAAAATAAACTAAAATAACTTTTTTTAAAAAAATTAAATTAAATTTTGACTGGTTTAATTAAATCACAAGTTAATTTACCAGACAAATAAAGTTAATTTTGGATTGATTTTATGTTATATCTGAAGTAGGTAATCAAATCTACGAAATTCTAAGCTGATTTTCCAGGCAAAACCAGGGACGAGTTTAACAAGTGTGATAGCTCATCCGATGCTCCAAAGGGCATACTTCAAGCTTTTCATCACTTAGGAGACCACTCTCCCTCATTCGTCCCTATTCTAAAATGGGACCAAATGACAAGTTACTATATAAACTTTGGACCACCCGTTGCATAAATACTCACCACTTATCCACCAAAAAAAAACATATATGCCTTATGCATGTAATAAATTTCAATTCTCAACCAAATGATACATACATATATATATATATATACATATACTGAATCATCTCAGAATCATCTCAATTTAATAAATTAAACTGTTATGTGAGATTTTAAAATATAATATTTATATTATTTTTTAAAATATCTTCTCAAATAAAAATCTTTTAAATTTAAAACTTGTATAGATTTTTATTACCTTATGTTTAATTTTTATCAAATAAATAAGGATAATAATATTCAAACTCATGATTCTTTAATCATCAAAATTCTGATATCATATCAAAAAATATCTCAACTCAATAGCATAAAATATTTAGGGAAATCACATACTATAATTTTTATATATATATACACACACAGACAAACAGAGAGAGAGAGATTTTCGTTTATAGATAATCTAGTGAGAGAAATAGAGAGCGTAGGTTACCTGAATTTGATCACCAATATTAACAATAAAAGCATGTGGAGCTGGTTTTACAGTAATCCAATTCTCATCTTTACGAACCTGAAGACCGGGGACATGATTGTCTGGCAAGAGAAGGGTTATGCCACCGGGATCCGAATGCGATGATAAACCAAGGGCCAGGTCAGGCTGAGGACACTTGGGGTAAAAATTAACTCTGAGGCATGCCCCAATATTTTCTCCGCCAAATGCATTTTGAAGTCGTTCCTCTTCTAATCCAAGGTTTATTGATAAAACCTTCATTAATCTCCCACATAGCTTCACCAATTGCTTACCATATTCATCAAGCACTTCCCTACAAATTAATTGGTAAAGGGTACTTTAAACTAATTAAATTGAAATTGCGGTATTAAAGATAACTAATTAATAAACCAAATGGTAGTTAGGTAAAATCCAAATATATGGTTGATAACCAACGTTTAGATGTAATGATAATTATAAGTGGCCGGCAAAAGTGCAGTCAATTACCAGGTACGATGTATCATATATCGGAAATCAATATGACACGTCGAATTTGCAACTTGAGACGGCTTCATGTAATTTTAGTGTGCTAAAAAGTATGAAGAACCAAAAAGATATGCGCATATATATGTTATGGAAATGGATTGAAATATATATATACCTGCAATCAGCTGGAATGGTAGGCCATTTGTTACAGTCCTTCAATGTTGAAGGAAGATAGTGGAGGAAGTAGTAATCACTCCAATCAAGTATGGCACCTTTTTCAACCCCTAACCGGCTACCGTAACCTTCATAAGTCTTGGGTGTGTTTGCATAAGCTTGCTTAACCTCCATGGGCGAATGAAAGAATTGTCTCCATACTTCTCGAGCACGGTCCATCAATTGAGGGCTAACACCATGGTTAATAACTTGAAAAAATCCCCACTCCCGGCATGCTATAGAAATTTGGTCAAGGATAGCGGCATGGAGGGCATGATCATCACCGTATAGTCCGACAAGATCAATAACAGGGATGTTCACATCCATTGAAGCAGTGGGATTTATGGATGGCCTCTCTATCGGGGGCTTGACATATCGCTCAGGAATTAGGGGTGTGCCGCTGTCGGACAAGGATTGTACACGAACTATTGGTTCGGGCCAATCATGGAGCTTATTCATAACGTTTGTAGCTAGGTTTGGTCTCCGAGGTTGATTCTATATAAATGATAATAGGTACCGTGAAACAGCAGACATGGTCTTTTATGAGCAATCAGTTTTGAGAGCGAAAGAGTAAGACGATGAAAGAAAGCCGTCTTAGTTCCCAAAAAACTAGAGAGGGAGGGAGGGAGGGAGGGAGAGGGGCATGAGAGAAGAATGTAAAGAGCGGTAATTATGGTGGGGGGAGGATAGTGGCGTTCGGGAAGTGAAATTGACGTGGAAGAGAACGTGCAAATTATTATGTTTTAAAATATAAGAATGGAGGCATGATAATATATATCCAGATATTATATGCATATTGTGTGAATTTGGGTTGAGATGGAGCAAGACAAACAACTGTCTTCTTCACTCTTGTGTGTGGGTGTTTTTTTTGCAGCAAAAGTGTCAAATGTGTGGTGCCCGCATGCGTCTTCTGCTATTTTCTATTTGGGTGGTTGTGGACGAGCCAAAATAGAGATGAGCAAGCAGGAGTTCATGTATCGTCCCATCTTCTACTATACTCCAATTACCAATCTATTTTATAAACCGAAAAGACCCATTCCAATACTTCAGCGACTCTAAAGAAACCAAAAAAGAAAAATAAATTTAGCGATTTATTTTTTATTTTTTTTAATATTGAATAAAACCATTCATAACTCTTTTCATGACCACACATGTATGAAGGGGACTCTAAATTTCGGCGCCGTGCTCCGTTTTGTTTGCTCTCCCTTTCATTAGATGTAATCCACATCCTCCAATATAGAACCACTTCAAGAGAAAGTAGTGTTCTCGAATGGGTGGCAGCAATGATTAATAATGATAAGTGTTGAAAGCTCACACTCTCTCTCTATTTGGCATTCAAGTTTACCAGAAGAATTGAAGAAGAAGAAGATCTTGTCAGTTACTCGGTGAGCTTAATACTTGATAAATATGTAAATGCGATTGTTTTAGCTAGAAACACGAGAACAGTGATATGAATTAAATGGTGGGAACTTGTGAACAAAATATGCAAGCTAAATTTATAATACATGATTACCAAAACATGTTATGACGTTATTTATTTATTTATAATATATGTAAACAAAATACGCGTCGATATAATTTAAATGTTTTGTTAAAATATACTTAGTTTAAATGTAATCAATAAAAGAGATATTCTTATAGACCAGAGGAGGCGCTGAATCAGATACTTGCATGTCAAACAAAAACTATTCCAGGGACGAAAGATAACTAGACAATGAATCGTGTGGATAACCATGGCTTTTCAATCGGTCAATTAGATAACACTCCATTCCCAAGTTGACGCAAGCTTCGATCACCCTCCTGTTTATGGATTTACGTATGATTAATGGTTTCACTGAGAATGAAATGGCCTTTTTCTTTTTAATTACAGCATGACAATGCTTTCAATGGTACTACGTCGTGTATAAATCAATACCAATTCCGTTACAATTACCGAGGGGCCGTCTAGTATTATTTTTGTTTTTTGGTTCTATCAGAATTAATGTAATTATACTCTCTTTATTCAAGATTATATGCTGTCTTTTTTTTCTTTTTCTTTTTATCCTATCAGATTATATGCTGTCTTTTTTAATGCATCTATATGGTGTAATAAGCTGTTAACTTTTCTACCGAAAAAAACTGTTATATAACTTGTATATTAGAGTTTAACTGAATACACATTAACAAAGTATTAAACACACAAGAAAAACATATAATTTTAGCTAAGGCGACAATCACCTTCTTTTTTTTTTTCAATTTGCATTACTGCATCTAATATCATGATGACTTTAGAAAATTAATAAAAAAAAAAAATATTTTTTTAAATAAAAAATATTTTATTTAAAGAATCATCGTTAAAAACTCTAATCGATCAATAAAAATTCTATAATATAGAATTATTTACTCAAAAAAAATATATTATTATTTTTTAAATGTCTTATCTGAGACATGTTATATTGAATTTTGTTTTAAATTATTAAAAATTTATGTTATGATATTCTGTTTATAATATTTTTTATTTTTGTATCAATTAATATTTAATTATAAATATTTTTAATTATAATGTTGATAAATATTACATAGTAAAAAAAATAATATTCTTGATTATGATATAAGTAAATAAACTATAAAAATAATTTTAAATTAATATATATATATATTGTTAATGGAAGAGGATGTTTCTATTTTCAAGGAAGCTTCTTTCTTGTTGCACTTTCAATTAGAAATTTAAAGAAGAGAGAAGAAACTATGACTTCCAAGTGAAGACCCACAGCTACAGTAGTGTGAATTATAATTCACAACTACGGTAGCGTAATTATAATGCAAAGGATAAATTAAACTGTAAAGCTGGGGAAGAGAAGAAGAGAAACTTACCTGGTCTGCTGCTCCTGAAGATGAAGATGAAGTTGAGGGCGATCGGTGCTCTGGTTGGGCGATCGGTGCTCTGGTTGGGCGACGTTTCTTTTTCGTCTCTGTGTTATCCCTTGGTCTTCTCTGTGTTTCTCTTCGGGAGCCGCTGCTTGGAGACGAAGATGTTTGATGAGGGAGGGTTGGTTAATCAATGTTCCCCTCTGCTTCTGTTTCTTCTTATCTTCGCTTTTTCTGGTCACCGGTTTTCTCTGTGTCTATGTTCTTCTTCTTTTTCTCCTTTCTCTCTTCTCTTAACTCTCTCTACACTCTCTTTGTCTGTTCTTTTTTTGTTTGCATTTTCTTGCAGTCTTTCCTCCTGCTCGCTCTCCTCTCTCTATTTTTTTTTTTTGTTTGTGGCCTTCTCTGGCTTTTTATAAAGCCAGAGGATGGACTCTGTTCATGTGTTCGTGCCCCACGATCGTGAGGCACGAACACCTCCGTTTTGTTTGAGAAGAAACAGGGGAATAACAATCCTGCTATTGCAGGATTGTTCAGTGTGGCCTCTGGAAGATAAATGGCAGCTGAGGAGACATTCATGGGAGACGTGGCCAAAAAGGGTTTTGGTTTCCTGTTGAATTGGTCCCTGGCCTGGAGATGAAGAAGGCGATGAACAATTGTTCAAAACAGCATCGTTTGTATCCCTGGAAATGATTGTTTTCAACTTGACCCGCGCACTTCTGACATTTAACAATTAGGTCCCTAATTAATGAAAATAAATTTTTAATTTTACCTCTGGATCAATTGCAATTGGATCACTAGATTATAGCATCATTTACAAAGTAATCCTTAGTTTTTGGATTATTCAATTGGATTCTTAACTGGCTCTTTAACTTTTAATTCTTTCAAAAATAACCCCATCATCATTTTACTTCGATCTTCAAATTTTAATTTTTTGTAATTTTATTTCGAATCAATCCCAAACTTTGATATATATTTAATTAAAAATATGATTTTATTAATTAATTAAATTAAAATTTAATTAAGTCTTTAAAGTTATCCCTATTTAATTAAGCTCTTAAAACTAATCCAAAGTTTAATTAAGTTCTTAAACTTATTAATTTTTTTAATTAGTGACTAAATTAACTTTTAAATTTAATAATTTCATTCTTAAACTTTTAATTTGTGTTGCCTTATTTTATTTTCAAATATTTTTTTATTTTTTTAAATTTAAAAATTAGGTTGTGATATCCACTGTACATTTGACTTGTGCAACTTTCAAGATTAATTATAGATGAAATTAACCGAATACCATTAAATAATTAATAACATCATACGAGATTCTAGAGTCTTGACTAGCTTAAAAGACCCTTTTATGAACTTAATTAGATTTAAAAAAAAAACATAAGGAAAGAGACAATGATCGATGCACTTAATCGCAGCAAAATTAGAGAAATGAAATGAGATTACAGTATAGAGATAAAAATGTCTGCAAGGGATCATGTGCACCCGGCTTGGAATTTCCATCCTCGGTTAAAGCCATACGGGGATTGAAAATATTTTGTGAATAAACTCCGTGTGTGTGTGTGTTAAAGGGACCCAGATTAACTTAGTCGGGTAAAAATGTACGGATAGTCATTTTTTTGGACTTGTAAGCAATCTAGTAGTAGGGAGGTAGCTTCTACCTTCATTTTATCAACAACCATAATAAAAGACCGGAGATTGTCGGCGATACCCTGAACTGACCTTTGTAGCTTATAATTAATCCACTATCCAAACATAATAAAAATTAAGAAAAAGGTCTACAAGAAGCCTGGAGAACGAACAAAGTACAGAAGGGACAAAGCATTTGCTCACCTCTATTTTCATTTCCCTCTTTCGGGACTTGGCTTATGTGAGAGGGAGGGAGGGAGGGAGGAAAAGGTCGGGGAGGGGGAGGGATCTGTGCATGTTGTGATATGTGAACCAAGTTATCTCATGCTTTTTACATACAGTAGAAGAGTGGAAGGTATCTGGTGGACTGTGCATCGTCCCGGTGGCAAATATGATATTGCACAAATTTTGATAGGAAAATTTGGCATGCATTAAATAGAAAATACTGCATGTGGAACGTCGTTTTACTATTCCGACAACATCAGTTTTTTTAACGGTGATCATATTCTCAATCTAATTCGAAATTCAATATTTCATTTAGACGAATTTTAAAGGAGTCATCAGCGCCCAAATAGTGCCTTTTTTTGAAAAAAAAAAGATACATTAAATTTTCTTGTGATGTGAACTTTTTCATCGAGATCAAACTTTGAATAGCATGAAGAATAAACTCACTTGTCACTCGAAATAAGCCTATAATTAATATTTATCTGACATTAACATGCGGGCTTTTCTTGTAAATGAATCAATACAGATATGATGGTATAAAACCTGTGCAGCATTAATAAGTTGGAATATATTCATGAATATATACGAGGAAAATGAAAAAAGAAAAAAATATATGATGGAAAATCATACTTTCTTGTGTACTTCATACATTGTATTATAAATTATTTTTTAAGTAACTAAAATATAATTTCTACAATATTACAATGCATTATGGTTTGTAATAATGTTTTTCTATCTATTACGAATTGTTCACCAGGTCTTAATAAATATTTCAATTAATTACGGGATGGTTTTTCTATCAATCAAAACAAATTGATTCGTTTATTTTTATATGTTTACTATTTAACGATGACTGTAGATGTCCTCGTGAAGGACGGATTTGGACATCATCGGGATTAATGTCGAGGCTTAATATTAAAGTTTGCACTTAGATGGATTGTTATGTCTTTTTCTAGTGGGTTATTTAATATGTTTCAGCATAGGTTTCATATATAAATGATTAAATTAATCTGTTTTTTCAATGCAATCAAAGAGAAACTACATTGGATTATTAATGAGAATCTTATAATTCCTTGTTACATCATGTTAACTCGCGTGGCTCAAAAACAGTGCATATACCCATGACTTCAGCCATCAAGCCAGATATTCCTTGTATAAATAAACAGTCATGCATTAATTATTTTATCATGATCGAGTTATTCTGACTCCTGACGCGCGCTAAATTTTACATGTATAATTTTAATAATTAATCAAATAAAAATATTTAAAAAATAAAAATACAAAAATAACATAAAATTAATTATGATATAACTATATAATAATAACATTTAATTTTTCATTTTTAAACGTCAAACCCAATGCCCAGCACATGACTTTCTTGATTATATATATATAATAAATAGTACAATCTAAATGTTTTGTAAAAGTAGGGTAAGAATTAAGACTTCGCGTCACTCTATATTTTCTTTGATTAGTAACTACGTACGTGCACATGTAATCACGACACAAACATATGCAACGTGTAAAATAAAATAAAAATATTATTTTCTTCACAACCACTCAGCAGAAGACATATGGAAGAGAGCATTCTTCGCTTCAAGGACAATTAGTCAGTTGCCATGTTCAAGTCGGGCATACGCGGAGCGGCTCATGCTTATCTTTCATTTTTAAACGGTAAAATCCAGTATTTAACTTTTAATTTTTTAGCTATATAAGAAAAAAAAAAACTATTTATATAAATGGGTCGAGAGTTATGATCAAGATATGTCACTCGTACTTTTCCTTTAATTGCCAGCTGCACATATATAATCGGAAACATTAAAAAAAAAAAAAAAAGTA